GGCGCGGGTGCGCCAGGGACATGGGGCGATCCGTCCCTGCCACCGTGGTCACGAGCTGGAGCGGAGCCCCCGGCTTGGGCCGCTGATGCCCAGAGGCCGGGACGAGCCGGCGGCACGGACGGGGGCTGCGGCTCGGCTGCTGGCGCCGCTCGCCCGGCTCCTGCTCCAGCCACTTGTTCTCCTCCAGCTTTCACTCCTCGACTGAAGGGCCCTCCAGGCTGCCTGCGCCTCCGGGCATGCGCCCGACCCGGAGTTCCCCCATGCCACAGGAGCTCCTTCTGCCCAGCCGCAGCCTTGTCCCACGGCCCCCGCCATCCTTGCAGACTCCAACAGCCCCAGGGATGCAGCCCGGACTGTCCGGCAACACCGGTTGGGCAAGTGGCTGGCGGGGTGCGAGCCACCGGCATGCTCTGGCTGCACGCCTTGTTCTCCGGGGCACGGCAGGGCTGGTGGCCGTAGGACCCCAGACCCCCTCGGCCTGGCGGCTGTCCGGGATACCCCTCCTACGGCACATGCGCAGCCCTCCGGTGGGCCAGGATGCTTCGCGGCTCCTGGCAGCGTCGAGCCAGAGTTTGTTTGGATAGGCCCATCTAGCCAAGCAGCCCAGATCACCCAGCGTGGCTGTCCTGCTCTCATCAGTGTTTGCCACTCTGCCAGTTCCCGTCTCCTCCGCAGGGGCTATCAGTGGTGGCTTTAATTCCTCCAGGACTGCTGATGGAAGGGGAGTAGCTCAGCACTATGCCAGGGGGCCCCAAGGACCCCGGCCCCTTTGGCATGGCTCCTGGTTTCGGCTCAACGCCTTGGGCTGTTTGGCTGCTGTCACAACGCGGGTCCCTCCGTGCGGTGCCGGTGCTGCCTGGCTGGGGGGTACGGGCTGGACCCCTCTGCTGGGAGGCAATCTCAGAGCTTCCTGGCTCCCTGGGCCCCATCCTGGGCACGGTCACAGGCTGAGCCTCTCCTGCACGGGGAGGAGGGTGAGACCTATCCCGTCTCCGGTGATGTGCCCTCATCACTGGCAGAGGCTCCAGGGTCAGCCCCAGCTCTGGGCTGGAGCATCCCGCAGCCCCGCGTGGGCCAGGGCTGTGTGGGGCTGGGGACATGGTCCGTGCCCTGAGTCACGAGCCGGTGTCCGCTCTGCCGATGTCCGTCTCCAGGTAATTTAACCCCACAGTCAACAATGCGGCACGGAGCGGAGTGGCAGTAAATCAGTAACTGTTTGCCTTTGCCTGCGGTCCCCTCCCTGCCGCGGGTGTTTATGCAGGAACAGGAGCCGGCGCGGACAGCCCAGCCGCCTGCCCAGCTGCCACTCTGTGCTTCACCACCATGGGCAGCGGGACCTGATGTGTGGGGACAGGGGAAAGGCCTGGGGCAGTGGGGAGAGCAGCAGGGCAGTCCTTGTCTCTGCACCCTCTGGGCTGGGGTGCTCGGTGGCTGGGTGCCAGGGAGGCTGCCAGGACCTGGCCATGGTCAGGCTGGCTGGGATGCTCCCGCTCTGCCCGTTCGGCTGAGCCCCACTGGGGACAGCGCTTCAGGGAACTGGGCTGGGCTGGTGTTTCTAGCCTGGGGCTGACACTGGGACTCACTGAATAAAGGCGGCACTGAATAAAGGTGTTGCAGCCTGGTAGCCCTTGTGCCAGGGCTGGGGCACGGTGCTCTGGCGACCAGGGTGGGATGGGGTGGTAACGTGGCTGCTGCAAGTGTGAGCGTTGGCTGGGCAGTGTGAGCGCTGCCCTCCAGGATGGAGGTGAGGGACCTGTGCCGTCCCTGCCTGTGCTGTGCACCCAGAGCCCACCCAGACCCAGCAGCAGCTTTTTCCTGGAGCAGCAGCACTGCTGCCAGTCTGACGCTGCCCACCCAGAGGCATCGTCCCTGCTGCCAGGGCAGGGGCCACCCTGGTGTCCCACCATGACTGAGCTGCTATTCCCATGCCGGTGCTGCCGGCAGTGCTTGCCTTTGAGGGTTATTGCCCTGGTCTGACACTGTAATTCCT